CCCCCCCCCCCCCCCCCCCCCCCCCCTCCTCACCCGCCCCGTATTCTTTCTCCGTGAGACGTGTGTGCAAATAGGACATCAAAAATACCAAGACTACTCGGACAGACGATGTGAGGATTCCATGTTAGTGGTGTTATTGGGATGCTCCTGTGCACAACCACGTAAACCACGCTCTAGATTAAGTGTGCAGCAGCATTAATGATTGATCAACAGCACACTTTTTTTTGGAAATTTTAGAAATTCAAGAAATGCTAAATTTTTAGAAAGCACCTAGTCCATTCACAGTAAAGTAGTATACAATACTTTCAAAAATGAAATCACCTTCAACTTTTGTTTTTAATTTTTACATTTAAAACTGAGCGAGCAGTGCTCACGATCACCGAGCTGGCGATGGATACTAGCTGGAAGTATGCAGCTCAGGATCATGAGGTTTAGTACAGCTGCTCCCGATTTGCGGGAACATCCCAGCAGCATCAGCGTGAGGGGCTACTTATAGTGAGTGCCCGAGTGGCCATGGTATTTTTGGTATTTAAAAGTTGACCGCTTTTTGTCTGTTTTTGTTTAATAAAGATTTAGTCAGATATGGCTACGCCGGCTCTGGCCGAATATGGAAGTAACCAGCTGAAGCGAGAATTTCTTTCTGGCACCCTAGCAGGCGATCTGGTGGCATGCCTTGGGGTTTCCGAGGCTTGCGCTGGAAGTGATGTGGCTGGTGAGTATATGAAAAACTATTAGACTCTTTTCAACGAATGTTAGTTATTACAAAAGTAGGTCGGACGATTTGATTGATTAAAACCTCTTTGTAGTGGTTATTTGAACGGAACACCAAACAAGAAGTTTTCAGAAAAATGCTTAAAGGAATGTTCTGGGTTAAAACTTTAAGTGTAACCTATCCAGATTTCCTGTTTTTTTTGTGCACAAAGAGTGCCAAAATTTTGCTGAGGAAGGATAAGGGTCGAGAAAGTGAAGTATCGAAGCTTACAGTGATAATATAAACTATAAAAATTATTCAGTGGAACAGGGCATGCATTCTTTTCCAGCACCACTTAATTATATTGAGCAAAAAAGGAATAAATCCAGACGCGCGGAGTTTGATATCCTAGTTCTGAGTTTAAAGGGTCATCAGGACCGCCATCTCGCTGCTGGTCATCAGGCGATGAAGCACTGGTCAAAGCAGCTGAATGATTTATCAGATTTCCAATTGGAGAATGAAGCTGTGAACTGCAGCTGGTCGATGTACCAAAAGTGCATTTTGAAAAAATTTAGCTGTCCGAACTTGCGCACATTGGCATGGAAGCGATCTAATAATTGATGGCAGTAAGCAGTGGATAACGAACGGTGCCCAGGCCGATTGGATTTGCCTTCTGGCGAACACTAACGATAACCCATCACCACACCGGAACAAAAGCCTCATTTGCTTGCGGCTAAATGAACCCGGTCAGTTTTGGGCAGCTTAATTTTGAAGTATGAAAGCTTCTCCACTGAGAAATCTCGGGACTACTGGAGTGCAATCCGCGATATTTTTGATGTGTAGTTGAACCTTACGAAACTACATCACCACCTATTTCGGCTATTTGAGCTACTGTTTTAGGGCTATCTGCTTTCATTCCCGGGCACCACTTTTCCAAGTACACTCGTGAAATTGTCGAAATGTAAAAATTTTGGCAGAGTGATTTACAGAATAATTGTAGGAGAAGGAATAACAAGTAGGAGAAGTTTTAAATTACAGTAATAAGCAGTGAATAACAAATAAAATTGTTTGTAAATTAACAAATATAGTTGGTTTAGCACAGTAAGTGGAGAGAAACCAACAATCGAATTTTGATAATTTAAAGAAAACATCCAGAAGTAACGTTTAGGTCTCGCATGCAAGCAAGCCAAGCCTTTTTTCCTCCTCCAGTCACCTGGTCACAGATATTCATAGTTTATTTTCTTATCCATATCACTTAAAAAAGGTAGCTGGTGGGGAATAGTCACTAAAATATACAGATCAACGTGCCTATTCTGTGTAATCAAGATACCGGGTTTGCTTACTGCTTCCGGAGCATATCTATATTTCCATGGGAATTTTAGGAATCCGTCGTTCGAAATGCATTGAGAAGCTTGGAATGCACTGCTCTGATACAGCGGAAATCTACTTTGACAGTGTTCGTGTACCAAGTCGAAATATTATCGGTGAAGAGGGGCGAGGATTTGTTTATCAGATGCGACAGTTTCAGGATGAACGTCTTATAGCAATCGCTGTCTGTAAGTTCCAGAACATTGCACAGCACGCGAGCGAGTTGAATAAAATATCTAGTAAGACTGTTTCAAAATTACATGTTCGAAATGATCAGTCAATTTGCGGTCCGAGTTTCAAATTCTTTCGCATGGTGCTTTGTTTTTACGCTATGATTTTGGTGCTTTATGTCAATAGCATTTATGTCAGGCTTTAGATCACATGAAATAGCTGTTAAATCGCAGTATAATTTCGCATTTATTTAGCTAATTGTCTTTCCAGCTACTTTGACTAATGCTATTTTAATTGGTAGCCAGACTACTGGCCTCCTTGACAATTCTTTCATTTTCTGAAGGGATTACTCAACACAGGCATTTTGACCCAGAATCAAACGGCCTGGCAAATCTTCATCTGGTATCTCAGTAATATCACTAGCACGGAACACCCACACCGATTATGACCACATTGTCCTTACTTATAATTTTATGTTATTAGCATGTTTTACAGTGCTTGAACCGATGCAAAAAATTATTGATATGACGATTGCGTACACCTCTCAGCGACGAATCTTTGGCAAGAGCGTACTGGACAATCAGGTGAGCAGTTCGGAGAATTTTTTCCATCATCAGTATTCTTCCAGAAATTTCTTGCTTATTCAAAAAAAGGAAATAAACAATATACAAGGATTAACTGATGTGTGTGTGTGTGTTTGGTGGATAATGTGAAATCCAAACACGTCAAGGTACCAACTCCTTAATCTATCCTATCGAACTAGCTTTTCCGCTCTCACAAGCAAGCTCACTTGTGTTGTTCTTCGCTTTTCATCAGATAGTGAGGGCATCTATCATCAAAACCGCACTTCATGTAACAGTGACTTCTCGATAATTTGGCAATTTTCCAAAACTACTGTGCATTTCCGTATAACTCGAAAATTCGTTAAAGAATGTCATTTTGTTAAGATGAGGCAAATTTGTGTGAACTTCTTTTCTGAAAGCCAAATTCTCCACTGACAGCGGATACAGCGCCGTGTGAGGTAACACGGCTATTGTGCAGAAGATCTAGGGTTCGATTCAGTTCATTTGTTTCGATATTAAATTGGTACTGGCCTATAGCAGAGAAGCAAAATCTAAAATACGCCATCAACTTGCTTGTAAGCATCCCTTGAAAAGGAGAGCCATCGGGTGATTACTGTTTGCGTTTGCTACCACTCGGGTTACTTCCGAATGTCTCTGCCTCTCATATGGAGCTAATACTTGGAGAGTTTTGCTTTTTATGCGTTTTTGCCGTGCAGCGCTAGAGCGCTGCAACAGGCAGCAAAAACGTATATTGG